CCCCCCCCCCCCCCCCCAACCCCTTCTTCCACCTATTCTATTTAAATCACAAAATCAACAAAACTTAAACTTATAATTTTTCTTTTCTGTCTACTAAAAGAAAGAATAGCAAATTTATCTTTATAAAATGGAGGGATTATCTCAAAACGAAAGTTTGTCGTATATTTCAGAGAGATGTGGAAGAAGTAAAGACGCAAATGGTGGATCATCATCATCAATGCCATTCACCAAATAAACAAGATATTGTACTGCCATTAAATGGCCGTTTAGCTTCTTGTGGTTCTGATTTGAGCCATAAATGAAGTTATCAAACTCATTTAGAATCAACGATGCCAAATAGCACTACATTTATCCTCAGCATGAGAGAGATACGTGGAAGAAGTAAATACACAAATGGCAATTGAAATGTTGTTTTAGCTTCTTGTTATAGTGGTTTCTTCAACCTCTTTATAATCACATTCAAATTTCTGTATATCGGTAGAGATCTATAAAAACTAGAAAGAGATGACAAAAGTCGGCGCTGTAATTTTAGGGTTTTGCTCATTGGCCATTTTCATGCCATGGGTCTGTTCAGGTCTGATGAAAGAAGAAGAAAATTGGTCACAAACCCTCTGCCAGAGAAAGGAAAAGGTCACTAAGCTTCATTTCTACCTCCAAGATTTAATAGGAGGGCCTAATAAAACAGTGTACACAGTAGCAAAATCCGAGTTAACAGATTCTCTTCCCTCGCTGTTTGGCAGGGTCTTGGTTTTAGATAACCTAATAACTGCAGGGCCTGAACCCGATTCGAAGAAAGTGGGTCGGTTGCAGGGAACTGTTGGGCTATCGGACTTGCATGAAGCGTCATTGGTTATGCTTGTTAACGTGATTTTCACAGACGGTAAGTATAATGGAAGTACACTAAGTATTTTGGGAAGGAACCCATTGACTGAAAAGGATAGGGAGATTTCGGTTGTTGGTGGCACCGGTGTTTTTCGAATGGCACGAGGATACATCATTACGCGCACGCACTCCTATGATGGCACACTTGGTGTGTATGAGTATACGGTTTTCGTGTCTCATTTGGAAGACGAAGCATCATAGTATTCTTTCCCATATGTGATCAACTCTACTCAGTTGAACGCGATGGATTATTGGATGCTTGTCTAAAAGTTTAAAATGTTTGATAATAAATGAATTTACTTAAGAATAAATTATGTTTTCAACTTCTTAGTGGTATGTTTCGAAGAGTCATGTAGACTTGCATTAATATGTTTCGTTTAGAGACGGTCGATTCATTTAATTTGTCCTCTTGACATGAATGTGATTGTATCGAATAAAAAAAATTCAAAGTGGTTTGAATGATGATCCTAATAATTCAAACTTGTAAACTCATTAGCAGTAATGCATCCTTTATGAATTTCTAACTCACCTAAGCTCTTTAAATCACAAAGCAAAAATGCTAAACTTACAACTTTTCTTCTCTATCACGTAGTAAAAGAAAATAACAACGCGTCAATTTATACTAGACGAAGTTCCTTTTCTTTTCGAATTGTGAAGATCTTGCTTCGAAGAAAATAAAAGTGCGTATGGCGAAGTTCTGTTTACCCTTAATTGTTTTACGTTTGAGTTGATTTATAGCAAAATTTGGCTGTTTCGAGACAATATCCAAACGTTTTTGAGTCCTAATTGTAGTCTGCACAAGTAAATTCAATTGGATGTTAATATCTTCTTAAATGTATAAAATAAACTATTTTTATCTTAATGCAAAAAATGAAATATTAGTTGATCTTATCATATTCTTGAAGTCTGAATATGAAACTTTGTGATCGTAAATGTCAAAGAGATACGTGAAAGAATTAAAGACACAAATGGTGGATCATCATCATCAATGCCACTCACCAAATAAACAAGATATTGTAGTTTCATTAAATGGCCGTTTAACTTCTTGTGGTTCTGATTTCTCCGACAGAATAAGATGAGCACCGGTGCTCATTAGATCATTTCTGTATATATATATATATATATATATATATATATATATATATATATATATATATATATATAAAACAAATAAATTTTTTATTCTAAAAT